CACTCTGCATATGTGTTGGCTTACAAGTGCACCCTCATCCTGAGGAGAGCTTGGTCTCCTTTAAAGCTCTGTACTTGGGAAAAGCTCTATTCCCAAACTCCCTATGAAGTAATAGCCACCTGCTACCACCTCTGTAACTGGGAACTGCTTTGTAGAAACAAAAACAGAACTAAAACACATTACCAAAAGGACATCCTCAAAATACATTAATTTATCTGAAATCTAACTTTGTTTAGTTTCACGCACACAGCTTAAAGGATCTGTACGCCTGGATACACAGAAACAACTGTACTCCTCGCAGGCACATGCCCTTCAAAGAGCATCTCCATCAGAGAGCACCAGGTGGAGAAAAGAGCGTGCAGAAAGCACTTACTGCACAAAAAGGCTCCAAATCCAAACAAAACAAAAACAAATGCAAAATCCAAAACACCAAACCCAAATAAACTAATCCTGCACACATATGTAATATATTTCAGTTTAACTGACTTAATAGTTCATATAATCAAAAGACAAGTTAAAAGAGAAGGGATCTCAGAGAGGAAGCCCACCTCTGATCCCCACACAAATGAAATTCAGAAAGCTGGGGTAACAGCCAGGAGAACAACATTTGGACAATATTTGATATTATGATGGCTGAACAGCATAAAGCTTGGCACAAAAACTGATCCAGCTGGAAACAAATGTTTCTTTTCAAGCAACCTGACATGTGTTTGCTTTGAAGCTGTCATAATTAGATGCCTTTCAATAATGAGCGATCTATTCCAACATCTATAGCAGCAAAAGAAAAGCCAGTAACTTTGTATAAAACATATAAAGCATAGATCACCAAGCTGCGGGCAATTCACCAGGACTTAAAGGATCAAATAGCAAAGCTGATTTTCTTAAGAACAAAAAACCCCACACAACCACACCTGAAACCATAGCAGACTATCGAGAGAACACGGGAGCAACAGTGATGGTGTAGGTCCGGTAGTAAAGGACAAAAGACAAACGTACTTGTTAAGAGTATGCTTTTGTAACAGTAACTAGCTGAATCGGAAAAAGTTGACAACTTGAAGGACAAAGACCTCTTCCCAGACCTGAAACTAGCAGATATTCCAGATCACACCAGAAATAAGCGTACATAACAGGAGTCTTTTGTATTTAGAACTGAAGCACCCTGAGAACTAAAATGTAAATTGGAAGACAGGAGGTCACAGTCATAGCAAGAACTAAAATGCAAACCAGAAGAGAGAAGATGACAATCAGAATGAAAGAAGTCATAGGTAACTGGAAAACTTGCTTTAATATTGCATCACGCAAAGCCAGTTGTTGCAGATGGAGCAAGAAAGTACTCCACAAAAAATTGAACTCCAGTAAAAAGTACTCCAGTAAAAAATTGAACTGTGTGTCCTGCCAAGAAACCTTGAGTTTTACCTAACTTTATACCACAATTGTATAATCAATGTGTTCATGTGCCTTCAGTCTCTAAAATGAAATTTTAAGGACACCCAGGCCCTTGACACTCAATAGTAGTACATTAACATTTGGAGGTTTTAAAAAGTAGTTATTTTCTCACACATTAGAAGTCTGTTCAGCCTGGAGAAGATGAGACTGAGGGGATGTTACCACCCGCCCCAGAAAAAGGGAGGGGGGTAACCCAGGTTTTTATCAATAATTCCCTTGGGGTGGATTAGAGTGAAACGACACTGAATAATCGGTGTCTGAAAACATATACTGGCAAGGTTTATTTTAACAATTCTGTATCAACAGGCATGCTAGCATTTCTGTGTTGTCATATAACAATGTGGCATAGAGATAACCTTTGGCGGGGGGGAGAAAATGCATAGGGGACAATTTTGCATCAACAGGTACGCTAGAATTTTAGGTGCTGTCATATAACAATGTGACATAGAGATAACCTTTGGGGGGGGGGAGAAAATGCATAGGGGAGAGAAAGGCAGGATAAGAGTAAGGGAAAGAAAAGCTGAGAGTGGACAGATGTATATAGTCACCGCTCACAGGGTCCAGCGATGAAACTTGGTAGTTGCAGCTTCCATGTCTGTCAGTTGAAGTGGTGGCCTTGATCTGCTGGGGGTGAAGGAGGGAAGCCCTCACACTCCAAGAAGTTATGAGTTATTATATCCATGGTCAGTGTCACGGGCCATGCCTCGAGCCTCGCCTCGAGCCTCCAACCTCTCCCTGGGCCCTGCGCAAGAGCTGCTGTGTCTGGCCTGGTTCCCACCCTTTTCCCGACTGGCAGAGGGGAGGGATGGGCTCCTATGGGCCATCAGAGGTACAATGCAACAGTCAAAAGCCTGCAAGCTCGGCTCTTGCCTTTTCAGGGCTTCACACCTTCAGCACTGGAGGGAGGGGCCGGATTGCTCATCAGAGGTATAATGCAAGTCAAAAGCCTGCAAACTTGGTTCTTTACTGGAGGGAGGGATGGGCCCAACTGTCCATCCGAAATGCAAGTCAAAAGCCTGCAAAAGTCTCCTAGAATGCATAAGTCATCAAACATTTCAGTCTCTGACAGGGGAAACCTCATCATGGTCTATAGTTTCCTCATGAGGGGAAGCAGCGGGGCAGGCATTGATCTCTGCAGTGACCAGTAACAGGATCCAAAGGAATGGCCTGAAGTTGTGTCAGAGGTTTAGGCTGGATATTAGGAAAAGGTTCTTCACCCAAAGGGTGGTCAGGCACTATAACAGGCTCCCCCAAGGAAGCGGTCATGGCCCCAAGCCTAAGAGACTTAAAGAAGCGTTGGGACAATGCTCTCAGGAATGGTGTGTTTCTTGGGGTTGTTGTGTGCATTTTAAGTCGCCCATATGCTAACACAACTACCAAAAAGGCATGTGTTTTTTTTTTTCCTTTTTATTTACCCTGATATTTGACTAGAAAACAAGAAGGCAACTCCAGCACGCCAAAAATCAGTACCTGATGAATATGTGGGAAGAATTTCAGAACATGAGGCTCATACAGCAGTTTAGCCTGTGAGAAATGGCACAGGCTCACACAAAACATCAAAAAAGGTGAAGGGCTGGCAGGCGGGCTGCCCTTCAGCAGCAGGAATTTGGATCCACTACCGGGAAGTTACAACATGTAAGCCTGTGAGTTTTGGATTTCAAAAGCTAGCAAGATACCTACTATTATTTTATTTTTAAAAAGTCTTATTAAGCAATTTTAGTGCCACTGACAGAGTGAGGACTTTCTGAACAGATTCCTAGCATGCTGTGAAATCACAGAAGACAGAAATAAGGACACTGCAAAGGAGTTATCTTGAGACCCTGATGCATAGCAGCCATAGCTGGAGACCGTGCTCCAGGGACAGGAAGGGGAAGGACATGCTGTGTGAGAGCACCAGCAGCACACTAGTCTTCCCTCTCCTTTCACCCCCATGCAGACACAGCAAAAAACACAGGCAACAGTGAGAACTAGTTCTTTATAAACGACTTCAAAAACTAATTTAATTGATGAGATGCTACTTTCCCCTGCAGTAGGACCCTGAACCCAAAATATCAGGAGGCTCCACTACTGAAAACTCACTGTAACCACCAGTGACCTACATAAAGCCTCTCCCCTCCCTCTGCTTCACCTTCCTTCTTGGACTCTCCGTCCTGCCCTACTTTAATAGATTATTACTTCAGCTAAACCGCGTAACAGTTTTACAGGGACACTCGGCTAGGACTGAAAACTTGCACATCTAGTTGCAGCAGTGGAAGAAACAGCAGAAGTGATGGTTTCTGCAGCCAGGATCAGCTGTGAGGTGATAGTATGCCATATTATCCCATCTCAAACTCTTATTTCTTCAATGCCTATCATGCAACCGTGGCAAAAAAAAAGTGAGTCAACGACTAACAAAACAGCGTGTTTCTCTACACGACAAAATAAATTAAGAAAAAAAAAACCAAACCAGAGCCATTTATGTAACAACTAGGAACAAGGAAAGCAATTTTACTCAATGCAGGGAAGGAGCTCATTCACAGGGGAAGCACATTTTGGTTTTACACATCTCTTTCGAAGATATTCACCCGCAGGATTTCGTCTCTGTTAACATGACGGAGGCTTTCTGCTCCCTTCCTCCTCGATTAAATCGGACATCCATCACGCTCAGACCAGAGGAGTGGCAGATCCCGGGAATTTGCCGAGATACCGGCTCTCCCCAGCTCCACGCCCCTCTCCAGGCGCTTCAGACATTCCCGGTGTTGTACCACCCCCTGCGCTCGCAGGGCAAACAAGCCGGGCGCGCGCACGCACACAACCACTACTACACGGCTACAACCGAGCGAACAGGATCCACCTACTACTCGGCGCAGAGCCTGAAAACAACCTACTTTTCATAAACTAAGGCTGCCATCGGTTTGGCAGAGGAGGAAGGCAGACAGTGCCATTTTTATTTAAAGCCAAGCTCCTCAGAGAACACTGCACGCAGAAATCCTTCGTGCCAACAAAGAGGCTACGCTCAAAACATGGGCGGACTATCTCCTCGAGGCAAAATGCAGGTTTATCTTAAGTATTTTACGCAGTGTAAGATAAAGGAAATTTTCTGAGCCTTTACGCCTACTGATACCTCATTAGGTGTTTTCAAAGACTATATCTTGCTGAAGCTGCAGCTGCACATAGGTGAATGAATCCGATCCACACACTCATTTCTTCCATGAAGCCGCGGTGGGGCTCAACATGACCACTACTGCGTATCCTGCACTTAATGATGGCTTCCCCATAAATAGAAAAGCGGGTTTTCTAGAAATACTGCATAATGAGTCATCAGCTACGAGCAGCTAAACACCAGGCACCTTGAGAGCAAGGACAGAAATACCAGTGGAACAAAAATAGCCATTCACTGGGAGGGGGCGGGCGAGAGGAGACCCGCTGGCAGGATTCCTGCTCGTAACCTCCACACGCCCCCCGGGTGCCTTCTCCCACCATTCACCGCAAACCCCCTCCCCGCACGGCTGCGGGGGCCGAGGTCAGCTCTGCCCCTGCCTCGCCCCCTCCTCCTCCCCGCCGGTGCCACTCACCCATGTCCAGGGCCTGGTTGTACTTCTCCAGGGCGGCCGGCAGCTCCTGGCGCTCCCGCAGCGCGTCGCCCTCGGCGCGGAGGCGCCGCGCCCGGCTCTCGGCGCCGAACCACTTGTGCAGCAGGTTGCCCAGCACCACGTTGACCCGCGGGCGGGCGGCGGCAGACGGCGGCGGCGGCGCGGCGGCGGCGGGGGTCGGCTCGGCGGAGCGGCGCGGGCGGTGGCAGCGGCCGCAGTCACCGGGCTCGGCGCAGCGGCGGCAGTGGGTGTGCCCGCAGTGCAGGGTCACCGGCTCGCACAGCAGCTGCCGGCACAGCGGGCAGGCGAACAGCTCAGGCGGGCGGCAGCACGCCGGGTCGCCCAGACCCTCGCCCTCTGCCCCGCCGCCGGCCGCGTCGCTCCCCCAGGGCGGCAGGCGCAGCTCCTTGTCGCGGATGCTGAGGGCGACGCTCTCCGCCAGCTCCCGCAGCTCCTCGGGCCGCAACCGCGCCAGCCGCGCCGCCGCGCCGTAGGCGTCCAGCGCCTCGGCCATGCGGCCGGCCCTGGCCAGAGCATCGGCGCGGCGGAGGCACAGGCCCCGCTCGGGCTGCGGCAGCCCCGCCAGCTCCGAGCCGTAGATCTCGGCCGCCAGCTCGAAGTTGCCGCCGCGGAAGGCCTCCTCCGCCACCTGCAGCATCTCGGCGCAGGGTCCCCCCGCCGCCGCCCTGGCTCCGGCGGCGGGGGGCAGCGCGCAGGGCCCCGGGCCCAGTTCCATGCCCGCGCGGCGCCGCCAGCCCCGGGCCGCCCTACTCCATGCTGGGCCCGCGGCGCTGCCGACTCCGGCTCCTTCCTGGGAGGGGACGGCGACGGAAGGGAGGGAGGGAGGGAGGAAGGGATGGAGAGGGGGCGTGTCACATCGCTGCAGCAGGGGGGCGGCTCCGGGAGGGGGAAGGGGGAACAGCAGAAGGGATGGGGGGCGGACTCGCTCCCGACTTATGTAAGGGGCGAACGGCCGGGTAAAACCGCCCCCATCCGGCAGCCCGGGCGCCCTGCCCCGGGGCGGCGGGAGCGCCGCTTCCCTCCCCTCTCCGCTCCCTCCGGCGGCTGCTGCTGCCGCACGTGCCCGCCCCGCACGTGCCCGCGCGCCGCCGCGCCCGCACGTGCGCCCGGTCCGGCGGAGCTGCGGCCCTGAGGGAGCGGGGCCGGGGGGCTTCCGCTGTGCGGCTCCTGCTGAGCTCAGCCTCTTCCTTCCCGTTTCCTGGTGCCCGGCATTAACTGCTTCCTCGCAGGCACTGCCGGACCCTGCCCTCCCGCCGTGTGCCGGGACCCCCTCGGCGCTGCCCGCCCGTCGGGCGCGGCCTCTCGGCCAGCAGCACCTCACGGGGTGGGTCGGGACACGTCTACCGGCTGCTGTTTGTTTTTATTTCCCCAGTCCCCGAGAAAGCAAGCAGGTGCTGTCAAATAAATAAATAAATGAGAAAAACCAAATTCCCAAACCCCACAACTCTCAGGAAAAATCCTTTTCTGTAAGTGGCAGCCTCGCCAGCGCAGCTTGGGATCCGCGAGTCATGCTGAGCGCTGGCTCGTGCATCGGCAACAACAATAAAGATAATGCAGCTGGAAGTTAGTTAATCATGCGTGAGTCAGAAAGGAATCCAACTCGCTCCGCAGGAATAACAGGAGTAAAAAAAAAAAAAAAAAAAAAAGCAACGTTTATTTTAGACACAGCTGTAAACAAACCGCTTGGAGAAGCGGAGAGCCTGTCAGTCCAACTGGAAGGTACCCACATCCAGCTGCTTTTTAGACTGCAGCTAGACAGTGGAGGGTATTTTTGGCTTAGCCTCTCTCCTGCTAGGCCTCCAGCCCCCAAATGTTGGCCTCTTAGCCCACGTCAGGAAAATCTCATTCATTAATTATTGTACCAAATAGTCTTTATCCTATGAAAGTGTATTGATTTTCTAAATAGTATGACATTATCTTTCTTTAGATATATGTAGTTTATGTCATATACTGCACAGTCAGGCATAACTAAGCATCAGTATTCACGGTGAAATAAGCATCATCAAAGGACCCAGCTCACGGCAAGGAGCAGGACCTTTGTTTGTCAGATCCTCAAAGCCATCCATGATGGATAAAGGATACCCCCGGACTACCAAAGTTGTGCCAGCCATCTTAAGCCCTCGGATACCTCTGTGAAACCCTCCCCTTATCTGGCATAATAGATTAGAAACTCTAGCAAGACTGATTCCAGGGATGTTCAGATCAATAAAGAAGCAGGTGGATGATGTCTGTAGAAGTATTGTTGTTTTCCGGAATGGTGATATGTTTGTGGTAAGTTGCTGCGTGACCCATTTTTCACTGTTTGTGTTTCTAGCAGTTGATTCTTTGAGCAATGCTCACTGCTCTAACACTTGTACTGTCCTCTTTGGCTCACGGTTTCTATCCAGAAGGTGACCTCAGCAGCTTGTCACTATTTCATCATTCTCTTTCTTGACATGTTCACTTGGAATTAGGATGGAATCCCATTGCCATTTTACCAAAGTCACCTGGGGACATGATTCATAGGTTAGAGGACAGAAACGGTGCAGCCAGTTCTACTCTGAGGTATCAAGGACAAGCCATGGCATCTTGGACAGATGATGAAAATGTGGACTCATTGCTTAAGCCACCCTACAGCGTTATTTTCTGGTTCCTTGCCTGACAAGGAGCAATGGCATTTTTGCTGATTGCTCCCATCCCACTCACCTGGCCATTAGGCTCTTTGGCTGGGAACTCCCCAGCAGCCCTCCTTGCTTTCCTGCACGAGACAGCAAGGAAGTCCGTCCTGGTGTGCTGCTTTTCCCCATGTGTCTTGGGATTGCTGCATGATGGTCCTTCAGCTCTAGCTGTCCCTTCTGATGGGTGACTCGGGAGGCAACGGCTCAGATGGTGGTATTGAACATTGCCTGTCAGCCCCTCCATTTGCTGCTGTGCTTGTGTCAGCTCATACTGTGCTGGCATGCTGGAATGGCTTCAGTCCTTTCCTCATCAATGCTTAGCAGGTGCTTCTAGAAAAACCTACTGTGAAGCGAGGCTACTACTTTATTTAGCAATGTGATCAATAGCCTCTTGGCACACAGCATCTATTTTTTCCCAAGACATCTATTTGCAAGGAACAAAATTACCTCACTGCTGTTCAAACTGACTCAGTGTGCCATCTTTTCCCTGCTTCCCATGTGCAGAATTGCTTGCCACCTGCGTCTGAACGCACCTGCGTCACTCTTCTCCTCAATGTCTATTTTGGGGCCCGTGTTCTTTCACAAGTTTTCTTGCTCCAGAGCATGGTTCATTTGTACATCTGTCTGCACTTTGTTGTTTCCCTATCTGAGCGACAAAGCCACTTTAATACAATTGCCTTTTGCAAAATCGATAAGAATTCACTGAGCTGCAGATCTTGGAGGGATGATGAAAACGTGGACTCACCACTTGAGCCACCCCAAAGTATTAATAATTTTCAGGAAAGATGGAAGGATTAAGAAACAGCAAAAACTAGGGTTAAAGAAACCAAAGTAAAATTATTAATAATCTATATTTAAGAAGCTCATGCTTCTCACTGAAATTATCAGTATTATGACTACTCCACTGAATGTGACATAGGAGACTCCTGCCAAGAAATTCCAGTGGAACAGGTACTCCATGACATGGTCATGTGGTTTATGGCTTCTTGCTGGATAAACTACAAGCAAAAAATTGCAACAGCCACAAAACAGAATGAATTGGCCATAAAGGACCTGAAAGCTGACACCAAAAGAAACACTAAAGTTGGTTTATAACTTTTATTAGAAGAAAAGCTGTAGCTACTGCATAGGACTGAAATGTCTACCACAGGAGATACAGGACCTTCTCTTGTTCTCACCAAAGCCATGGCAAAACTTCTGCTGGCTTCATCAACTTAAAAAAACCCCACGCAAACCTGTTACCCAAAATTAGCTCCTGTGTAGAAGGCTGTTAAGAGGTGCTCCCCGTTATCAGTACTATTTTCCTGTTAATAGTACACTTCCCCTTAGGAGTGGCCTCATCACACTCTCTCAAGCAACGTGTAGAAGTCCATCTGCTTTCCAAGGGGAGAATTATAGGTACTTACTCCACTGAGTCACTGTTACACAGTTCAAAGTTGTCTTGAGGTTTCCTTTAAGTTCACAGCCTAATTTTCAACTTCTTCCTGAGGCCCAGCTTCCACAAGGTTTTCCCCAGGGTAGAATTTACTTGAAGCTTGAAGGGGAAAGGAGAAGATGAAGCAATTTTGAAATGACAGCATTTACATATTTGGAGGGCATTTTTAATTTCTCTAATACTTTTCTAATCCAAGGTAGTTTGAAGTATTAAACTCCATTTTGTTTTGATGATTTTTTTTGAGGAAATCTGTCTTTTATTGTTTCAAGATGAGTTAATTAGGATATAATCAGTCCACAGGGTCACATACAGGTACCGTGCTAAAATGTTACAGAAATTGTAAAGTCAAAGACACAAAAATTAGGGTACATAATAATTAAGGCTCTATATGCTTATTTAATATAGCCTTCATGCATTAACCTGATACGATTTTAATTAATGACATACTATTTTCTCTGCAGGATGCATGTCTGTTGTGGTTTAACCACGGGAAAGAAGATAATTAATGGGCATCCAAATTGTAATGTTCTCTCTGGTCACTCTGCAGCCCCCTTGCACCTTTTGATTTGTATTAGTCATAGTTTGCTGTGGTAGCACAATTACAGATTTCCTTGTGTGCTTTTCTATAAAATTCAGAGTACAGCACTGGAATATTCCCAAATATGCACATATTTATATTTGCAGCAAGAGCATGAGTCAAAAGGAATAATAGTTTGCCCTTTAGCAGCTGGGAAGTTGAGGTAAGTCCAGAGTGGCCACTAACTTGGGGCACTGGATTTAGGGGATGAAATTTCAGAATATGATTTTTCAGATGTGCAGATTATTTCAGAAGTACATCTTCCTTCAGCTGAGCAGCAACTGGACTGAGGTGCTGAGACTTCGGCCTGAGTTTGGGCCTCAGCTAGAGCACTCTGCAAACAAGAGCTATGCAAAA